CTGATTGTCTGTAAATTGTCTTTTAATAAAATTGTAATGGAAATCATAAATAAACAGTTTTGAAAGATCTAAAACTACAAATCCTACGTATATCGGCTTATTGAAATATATATTTTTTCGCCCCATTTCTATTATTACCATGTCATTGTCAAAAATTATACTATTGTGGAATTTTGGAGAGGCAATGAGATTTTTTGCACCATACCGACCTTCCCACTGTGTAACTAACTTTACGTCTTTATACTTCCGAACGTTTTCCATTGTTTTTCCGTAAACTGCATTATTCATTAATTTATAAAAATTCTTTTCAAAATCATCTTTAGATTTTTTTCGTAAATCTGTATTTAGATCTACATACTTCTTCACCCATGGTGATTGATTAAATTTAAGGATTCTATGGATTTTGGTTACAATCATTCCTAAATCGAGATATTGTTTTAAATTTCTGTAGTGAATCACATATTCAAGTTTAGGTGATAATGTCGTCATAAGTTTGCTGCTATTGCTGTTTGGAGGTTTACGGTGTTCAGGACACAATGGCAAATCTTTATGATGCTCGTGTAAGATTTTTGGATACTCTAAATCAACCTCGAAAATGTAACCAACTGGAGAATCATTGGAGATATTTTTAATTATTTCACAGATATTAGAAATATTGATGTAATCTTTCATCCATTCAAATGATCCAGTTGGTAGGTACTCACTCATTGCTGCTCCATACAAATTATTTACATCAAAATACATGAGATATGATATATTTTCATTGGGGTTATAATCATTACACATATACGAGTTATTTGCTTTTGCATATCTATTTGAACACTGTGCCACTCCTCCTCTAATACCTTTTTCTATGAAATTAATCATTTCCACATTGTCCAAGAGTTCGAGTTCAATTTCTGTATATTTCAACATAGCATCAAAAGCTAATCCAGGTGCAGTGTAGTAATGTAACGGATCAAGCTCATAAGTAGAGATACAACTTTGTCTAAAACTTTGAAAAATGTCTGCTAACAGAAGAACGTCTGTTTTTAAATATAAATCTGAATATTCACCGAGGGTGTTTAGTTGAAATTGATCCCAAACGCGGCGCGCATGTTGGTAATCATCATCGGAAATGTCCGAATTGTTGAGTTTCGAATAGAATTTTATTTTGTCAGGTAATTGCCGTTCGTCAAGTTTTTCCCAACTGTCAATATATTCATATGGGAAAACACCTTTACGAGTTACTAACTGAAATTTATCTGGCTCGGGATAGAAACTTTTGGTAATTGATTTTGCGTTATTATCCAAAAATAATGCAAGTTTCTCAATACTATTGCTCATGAATCGGAAAGAATCAATAAATCGTAATTTAACAACTATTTCTTTTTTTCTTTTTTTGTGGGAAATTTCCTGATCAACTGTTTTTGTAAATGCTATGTATTTTTCTTTATTGACAGGTAATAATTCCATATAACCTTGAAATGATGTAGCTAATGATTTAATAAAAAAATGTGAGTCATATCCTGAGAGGTTATGAAAAATGACTGGAATTATGCATGAATTTTGATAATTTAAATTACAATTAACATGAGCAGCGCCTCGATAATTGCCTGTAAAGTGACAGTGATCATGTACTTTCGTTTCATCATGTAAAAATGGTTTATTACAAATGTGACAGATTTTTGCATTACAAAAATCGTTTAACTGTTGGGATGTTAATGGTTTCATTGGTACTACGTTTTCTAGGTGAGTTTTGACAGTTTCAGCTATTTTTTTCAACTCAGTCATGAACCAGTTTATACAATTAACGTCACGTTTAAGATTAAATCGACATTGTGAATTGTCATATGTACATTGCATATAATAGGCTACACTACATGGAATATGCTTTTGATTACCTTCATTATCAGGTTCAAGAATACTCTCAAGATCGGCATAGATAGCAAATGGCACAGGCTCTTTAAAATGAAAATTTTTAAATTTTATTTTAACACCTTTTTCCGGAAGTGAAATTCGCGTATCATTTATGTTGATACAATCTTTTTGATGATTTTTATATGATTTTTCTATCTTAAAGTGATTTAAACATCTATCACATAAGAATAGTTTGTGTGCATTTTTAGAAATTTGATTTCCAACTAATCTTGAAAGATCCTTTATCAGACAAAAATGAAAAACTGGATTAATATTATTATTTTCATCACCTACTTCTACTCTACTTTGTACCATTAACAGGTGAATACATGGCTTATCTACTTTATAATATTTACTTAAATATAACGGAATAATTTCTCAATCATCATCTAAACCATGCATACAGTCATCTAAACCATACACATTTATTGCTAAATCGTTGAGTTTTTCAAATTTTGGAACATCATGTATGGTTGTGGGACAGTTGATACCCTCACATTTTAACACACTTTCGTAATAAGGATATGAACTTGTTCTTGTTGAATTTTTAAAAACAGGATAAAGAGCTGCAGTAACAGCCCAAAAGAAACAACATTGATCGTTGTTTTTAATATTTAGTACTGCTTTTTTTTGTTGTATAAATTTTGGTAGAGGTATAAATGTAGATTGTCCGGCTGATAGAGGTTGATAACGATTAATATTGACTTGCAGATGATCAATTTCTACTAGTGACCAACCAGAGTCTCGTTCTTGAAAATCCTCGACTTTTGTTAGTAGTTCATCAACAACATTTTCCAGAAAATGTTTTTTTATGTCTGTTGACGGCAAAATTGCTTCATTTTTTACACTAAAGTACTTAATTTCTACAACTGTTCCATCATTTGTTTGATTACTAAATTTACAAGCGAGGACAAAGTTCACTTTTAAATTTCCCTCACTTGTCACTATATTTGTCAACTTTTCGGTGTTAAGCTTTTCAGCGTCCAATAAGAAGTCTCGTAAATTTAAATGTTGCAAGTTGATGACAACACTAGTGCGAATTCGATTCCTGAAAACATTTTCTAAATCTTTCCACCGAATTAATTGTTCTGTTGATTGAAGGCTTCCTCCAACGACTGAATGATTTACGAATTTTTCATGTAATGTTGCGAGTGCTGCAATTATCGATTGAATTCGTTGTTTTTCACCAACCGATAAACCACTCGATTGCAAATGTCTGTTTAATGTAGTAATATTGTCACTACTAATTCGCACCCACTTATCAATGATTTCACTAGATTCACGATTTAAAGATGGTAGAAGAGCATTAGCCTCCTCCATCATTTTAATTAAATCAGAATAATAGTTCGGTGCACTCATTTTTGACTATACTAGACAAACTTTAGAATTACAATGATGGAAAAGCGTGTTTAGAAAGATTTATATAGGATTTGAATGACCTTGTAATGACTATCTCTTCATCAAGGTCAAAAAAATTATTTAGATAATGCAGGTTGGGTAATTGATAATGAAAGATTATTTAATGATAATGGATAGTTTGATGTTTCGATACCGTTACATATGCTATTGGGATTTGCTGAAGATTATTATCGCATAATTGTCAATGCCAAAAATGAATTAATACTTACTCGTTCGAATACCGATCTTAATGCAATTGTACAAGCTGCAGCGGAACCTGGAGAGACAATCACGCTTATAAAAATTGAATGGATAATTCCTTATGTCACTGTTGCAGACATAAAAAAAGTAGAATTATTAAGTTACATTGCAAAAGACCCACCGATTCCAGTGAGTTTCAGATCATGGGAATTATATGAATATCCAATGCTGCCAAACACAACCAAACACGTATGAGTCGTAAAAACATCAACTCAATTGGAAAAGCCCTGCTATGTTATATTAGGATTTCAAACTGCACGCAAAAATGATGCTACAAAAGATGCAAGTCATTTCGATCATTGTGATTTAAGGGATGTAAAACTTTTCCTCAATTCACAATGCTATCCATATGGCAACATGAATCTCGACATAAGTCACAATCAATTTACCTTATTATATGATATGTATAGAAATTTTCAAACATCATATCATGATAAAGAAGCAGAACCTCTACTCACGAAAAAAAAATTTGTAGATATAGCACCACTCGTTGTAATTGATTGTTCTAAACAAAATGAATCCTTGAAATCAGGACCAGTTGATGTTCGACTGGAATTTGAATCATCAAAAGCTTTTCCTGCTAACACATCAGCCTATTGTTTGTATTGTTGTATCTTACATGATCGAATAATAGAGTATAAACCTTTAAGTGCGTAAATGAGAAAACTAACATCAAATATTGTAAAAAATATATATATATTATAATTATGATTATATTATTCATGTATTAATCAAATTTTTTTTTTTGCTATAAATAAATTGTGTACACGAAAAAATTAATGTTTTCATTCATTTATTTTCAGAAAAACCCGATAGTCAATAGCGCAAATTTGAGAGAATATTAATACATTGACAAAACTTTGAAAATCAATTATTTTTGCTGATAGTGAAATTTTAATCGCAGTTGGAAAGAAATCAGTATTATCATTGAAGATAATTTATCGAGGTCGGTAAAAAAAAAAATCACAATCAATCGCTGCCGATAATTTATCGCCAAAAAAGTTATCGCAATCGGTATTATCGCCAAAGATGACTTATCGAGAACGGTCAGTCATCGATATTATCACTGTCGAGAAACTTATTACGGTCAGTAAGTCAGTAACTTATCGTCAAAGTTATCGCGGTCGGTAATTAGTACGGATCAGAACCCACTTTTTGGCTCGGCCGGTATTGCAGAGTGATCCAGAACCGGCCTTACTTATCTACTGTTACGTTTCGTGAATTACTGGTACAACATTATGCAAATATCGAAGTTGTAGACAGAAAAAGTTGGACTCTACTTGAATTACAAGATAATAATAACAAGTTTTAAAAACAAAAAAAAAAAAATTTTGGTATTGGTGCTATTCGGATCATACTCAGATTACCAAATCGATATTTTTCCATTTATTTGACTGTAATTGTCAATACACACAACAAAATAATCACTTTAAATTCATCATTCATGGATGAACAATAAGATTTTTTACAGTACATTTAGAGGTGTTAGAACATTCTGATATTTCTATAGTATTTATTGAATGTTCTAAGGAATCAGTACGATTTCTATTTACACTACCTATACTTTGATTTATCGTATAACTGTCTACTGATCTGTTTTTTAATGCTCCATTTCTGTTCTGTTCAGTAATGAATGATGTACTTGGAGATCTTAAATTTTGAAGAAATATCATATCAAAGTCGGTCGGTAGTCTCATATGGAGTCCTTGATTCTCTATTAAAGTATGAATTGTATTGTGTTTTTTGGGTGATTCTGTATAATGTGACTGATGCATGTTAGACATTGGATTCGCATTGATTTCAGCTAGTCTATGTAATTCTTTGACAAAGTCTTGTGCATAAATCTCAGATAAATCACCTGATAAGATATCTTTTGGCTAAAACGCAAAAATTAATTTTTGATCAAAACATTAAAACTCTACAAATTTATTGGTAGATATTAGCTACTTACTTTCTTGGAACTTCTGAAATTAAGATCAGTATTTGCTAGCAAATGAATAAAAGTATCAAATCTATGGAATAGCATTGCTATGAATTGTATAAAAAGAATCAAACCAAATCCAAAAACAAAAAGGCAACCTATTGGCTCTATGCGTAAATAGTTTCTTTCTATGAACACCTGCAAAATGAATCAATACTTTTTTTAAAAGTTTATTTATATATATTAAAAACGGTGTAACAAACAAATTACCTCCATAGTACCTCCATTATGATAAGTAACATTGTACGTAATTCCTACAGGCCATTGAAGATACAGTTTGTCTTTATTTATTTGCATCATAAAAATTATAAATATAAACAATGCGTTGATCATAAAAAATTTAAAAAGATTTTCATCACGTAGCTTTTTTAATTCCATAGTTACTTTTTCAAGCTGTTTTTTATCTTCATTGAGTGGTTGAAGATATTTTTTTATCAATTGTTTCCAGAAGAGTTCCTCTTCAAGAGATAAAAATTGGACTTGTCCTTTTTGGAGATCCGGATCTTGAATCCAATGTGGACTTATGAGATAATGATTTTCTCGTACATTATTTGGTTTTATATGTGTAGAAGGCAGTAATGAATATTTAGAACTATGTTCAGAAGTTTTTCGATCCCTTTTACAAATTCTATCAGTTTCGGTCGTATTCATATGAATATCTTTTGGAGAACTTAACATTTTAGGTCTTAATCGTTGAGCTTTGTTCTTAATATTACTGTGATATAAAAATATTGGTGTTGAACATATTGGAACTGATATATTAACATTTTTTTATTCACTAATACCAACCTTTCTAATTTATCTATACGAACGACAATGTTATTTAGTGTTTCGGCAATACAATCGAGTTTTTCAAATTGATCTGAATCCCTATTCTGAGTATTAAACAAAATTCTGAATAAATAAACGATTAAAGAGTCCAGTGATTCTTTTTGAAATAATTTAGATGTATTTGATTCCGAAGATTGATTTTCCGTCAACAATGGATTTTGTTCAGTTGAAATATCTTTATTTTCTTTAGATTCTCTCGTACCCCAGATTACATTATTAATGTTGAAAATCGAATAAATAATAAGTAGTAAATATATTGATGGGACAGCTATGTAATAAATCACAATGCACAGAAGACATGATAATTCTTGGGGATGTAACAAACCAGCAATAACGAGTTGCCCCATAACAATAAGGAATAAAATTGTACCCGGAGTTAACCATCCGTTTTTTGCAATTTGAATCATTATACCAACAAGAACAATAATCATAATTAACCCATAAATTGTAGAAATAATTGCAGCAAATTTAAGTTGGATTGAAGCCTTTGAAGTAAAACAAATTACTACAAATATTATAATTGGAATCAAGTTGTAAAATAAGCTAGACCAATCATCGATTTTAAAAGCGACTACAAAGGATCCTACAAGCATCATAAAGATTGTTGCTGGACTTAGGACTGTACTCCCTGAATAGAAAAAAAAATATTTTAAATTTATAAATCAAATTTTCATAACTTTTTTTAATGACAAGAATTGTACCTAATAATATCCATTGATATGAAATATATAACCACGACATATTTTCATTGACTTTTCGAGTTTCCTTGGAATTACTCAATAAATCATAAATATTAGCTATAGTTGACGGAATCCAACGCCGACGTTGATTATAGAATTCATTAAACGTTTCTGGAGCATGTGTATATGAATCACTAGCTGCTGAATATTCAACTCGATATCCAGATTGCAAAACAAGAGTGCATAGCCATCGATCTTCACCTTGATCATATTGGATATAATGTTTAGCTTCTTCTGATTTAGTTGCATATCTTTTCATTACGTTGTCTTCCATCAATGCCTTAGCTCGAAAAAGTGAAAAGCAGCCTGGGCTCCACGAAACACTGCCAATTATGTGTTCTGTTGATTTTTGAAGCCAGTGGCCAATTGCATATTCAAATTTTTGAAACCAAACTATTGGACCCGAACCAATAGGATGAATTCGACCAGATGCAGCACCTAGATTTTTGTCTCTTTTCATCAAATGCAGAAGAGTTTGTAGTGCATTAGGTCGAAAGTTGATATCTCCATCCAGTGTCAGGATAAAAGTGTTTTCTGCTATTATCTCTTTCCGACTTGAATGAATCGGTTGACTCATTAATCGATAACCAAGTAAGTAATACATGTACATGACCTGCCGTTTAAAATTATTATCTTATTTGTAATTTGATTATAAATATATCTTTAAACGCATTCTAATGTCATAATTACCTGACTCCATCGTTTTCTGTGACGGATTTTATTTTTATCTTTTAGATGAACGATCAATTTATTTTTTCCCGGAAGAATCCATTCAAGTACTCCTCCATATGGAGCTGGGTACTTGGTCGGTGAATATGCACATATGCAAAGACTTTCAATTGACTTTTTATACACTTCTATAAATGTCTTTACATAATTATTAACATAGGTTTCATCTTCATGATGATCACAAACGGTTTCACATCCATGCATACACCGAAAAGCGTCATCGAAAAAAATGTGTGCTGAAATGAAAGAAAAATTTTTTATTCATAAATTATTAAAACAGTATTTATAGTTAATAATTGCTATTAATCAATTCAAATAAAAACATCATTGAACTTTTTAGATAATTACTTTATCACGCACCTTCAAGTTCAAAGTAATCATCAATTATAACTTTATATTGTTTCAACGTGAATCTCATAGCTGCTTGATGAAGATCTAATCTCAAAATACTGTTGATAAATTGCATCATTTCATCTTTGGTTTCATGCCACATGGTTGCACACGCAAAAACTTTAGTTATTTTATCTTTAGGTTTGATTACAGATGCGGTCGAAATTGCTTCTGAGAAACTTTCAAAGCTTTCTTTCTGTTTACTCGATTCCTAATGTGCAAATATTAATGTCATACAATTCATTAATACGCGAAAATTTTTAATACCAACCTCTGGATTTGAAGATTCATTTAAAAAATCTCTTCGTCGATTAAATATCAACGATTGATCAATGATAAACGAGTCATATGAGTAGACGGCAAAAATACGTTTTTCACTTGCCAGTCTTTCACAATGAGAAGTCCAGATATGTGTCGTGAGCCATATTTGAGACAGAAATACAAATATCCCAATCCAGAATTGCCATTGAGATATAGCATCCAAAAAATGATCATATTCTGGAGAGTTAAAAGATAAATAATTTGGAATATAATTAACTAGAGCACAAGGATCACTCTTTTGCATGATACAGATGATAAGAAGTAAAATAGAAGTCACTGGAACTGTCAAACTAACAGGCAGTGCAAATCCAAAAGATTGCATTAAACCTCTGATAGCAAATTTACCTGGAAAAAATATTTTGTTATGTTGAAAGATCAATAATGAAATGATTTATGATATTTCTTACTGGTTAAAAAAGTTATTAATGATGCTACAGCATTAATCAATAGCACGATTAATACTACATGTGAAGAAACCATGTAAAATTCAATTATATTTGATACACCCTTATTAGAGAAATCATCTTGAAATTTTCTGATAGTTACATTGTACATCAATTTTCCTGGAAATGTTGTGATAAAATTTGAGAGACTTATGTCCTTTAAATAAATAATTATCAGTGTAGTTCCGAAAAAAAATAATATTCGAAATATTGCACTGATTCCTTGCACGGTTTCACGACTTGGTTCCAACCTTTCTTTGATTCGGCAGAGGAATTGAATGAATTCTATGAGATATGTAAATATTTATAAAAAAAATATTAATAATATCTAGCAATATTTTAATGAAAAAACATACTGAATGAACTTCTTGATGAAATGTAATTGGACCACCATCGCAATGAGCAGATTGCAAGTGTAAAAGGTAATAACCACTTGATAGTGGACCGGAATGGATTAAAACATAATAAAGCAATAATATATGAGATTTGAATTACGAGTATTATTACATCTCCTGCAATTGTAATAGTGAATTGATGGCCTACTTTATCTTGTCTATTACGCGAAAAGAGACCTGTTTAAAAAAAATTAAGTTTTTATTACATGATAAAAAGATATTGAACACGTGAAAGTGAATAACACTTACCAAGAATTGTAGGTACAAAATAGATACAACTACTGACTGTTACTGCTAAAACCGAGTCAAACTCTGGAAGAATTACTAAAAAAAGTACAGTTATAGCTGCAGCATGAGAGCCTTCAATGAAACATACAAAAAGAAGATCCCAGATTCTTGGGAATTTTTTCTTTTTAAATAATATATGATAAATTGTATAGCTGCTTGTTACTAGCTCTGGTATACAAAAAGCTATAAATATACACCAATACCACATAATTTTTCCTTCTTCTGGGATTTCAATAATCACATTTTTCATTACAGTTATATTCTTATCTAAAATAACAGTAAGTCAAATAATGTTAAAAATGAAATTAATATTATTATTGAGTTATTATTGATTCCCTTACTTATATAATTGTATTCACAGTATTGCATGGTATGCTTCGGTCCAATCTGAGAGGATGCAAGCAAAATAGATGCTCTAGAAAAAAATCCTCCACCAAGAATTAGTATAAATAAAACCAAATAAGTACAAACTTTGATTGCTTTTAAAGAATATTCATATAAAGTTATATCTTCCATCGATCCAATTTTAGTCGTTTGAAGAAATTCTCGAAAAACATCCCAATTATAAAATTCGTTGGCATTTCTGTAAAAAGTTCGCATGAATAGTTTTATTGGAACATGTGATAATAATTTTATATTTAGAAAATTAGTATACTCTTCATTTTTGCCGTCTTTATTTTCACTATCACTATGGTATTCATCTAATTCGTTATAATAACTGTTAAAACAAACTTCTTTGTAAGCATTATCAGACATTGTTTTTGGTCAACAAGTTTATTAAACTCCGAAACTGATACTATTTTTATTTTAAAGTAATTTTTCTAAACATCTCCTCTCAATAAATTCTATATTATATTTTATTATCGGATTGATATCAGTATGATAAAATGATTAAATTTATCGTTTTATTCCCTAAATTATAAGCTCGTCTAAAAAAACAATGAATCGAAATAGTTGTGAATCATAATACAAACTGTTTAAATTTTGTTGTTATCACGGTTATTAATTAATAATTTCAATGGTCTAGGAATTTTTGCAATCATTCTCAAGTGTTAAAAATATTTTTTGAAAATCAGAACATTACGAAAAATATAGATAATTCTGTTATATATTATATTATCTGGTATAGTTTTTTTTGCTTATTTCATTATCAATAAAGGTAGACCAAATTCAATAATCGCTTCACTATATCTCAATCGAATGATTTTTATCCAAGAAAAAGTTGAAGATTCCATCGCGTTTGATTAGATCAGATCTGATCTATTCAGGTCTAATTTATTTCGATGCTAGACCTGATCAAATTTTATCAGGTTGCATTGGTTCTAATCAGATTTGATTGGACAATTTTCTTTTTGATTTCTAATTTCAATAAAGTCTAGTGTCAGTTCTGATGAAATTCACGTTTAGTCTTTTTATTACTATTATTGACTCGAGCATGACTTACATATTGAATGTTTTAGTGTTCATCCGATGTTAGGATATATATGTATACCTTTCTCTCTCCTACAAACACAAATACATTCAATCAATAATTATTTTCTAGAATGAATTTTAAACAAGTTAAAATATTTTTTATCGATTAAATCGTTGATACTCATTGAATATTGTTCAAAATAAACGAAAATTTATTATTGATTTTAAATTGTTAACAATTACAGTTCCCTTATTAAAGAATCTGGTAAATTCTCATAAAAATTAATATAATTCCTATTGACTTTCAAGAATGATTAATTGGAATAAATAATATAAATTTTCTTCTAATGGAAAATAAAACCGATTTAAGAGAATTCACCCGGTCATATTATTTTAATATCATTAAATCAGATAAAATTTATTTAAAATAGTCAGATATCCAAATGAATTATTGGGAAAATAATAGATTAAATGTAGAAGAATTTTTCAAGATAGAAATGGAATGAAATATCATGCTTTTTTTTGCAAAGTTTCATCTATATTTAAAAAGATATGTATATATGCGGGATATTGAAATAATTTGTGAAATATATTCTTTTAACAAATAACTAAATTAACGAAAATTCTCAGAGGTAGGAATGTAAAAGTTTATGTAGTTACATATACGTAAACAACAGGAATGAATTGCTATTTTTTACAAGAGAAAGGTTTATGTAATTTCTGAATTTTTTTATTTAAGTAATTTTGCATGTGTCTAAGGACACGACTATATTTAAAGTTACATTTTATACCTGTAAGATTAATTAGGACAATTTTTCGAATTTTTTGTGTTGATTAATATACTGATTGAATTTAAATGATCATGTCATTTTTTTCCAGCATGATCGTAGAATTACATTTTATTTTAAATGCAGATGTTTCGAATAAATATAGTGTATAATATATAATTCAAGATGTTTATATTTTATTTAGAGAATATTTACCAATTTACATTGAAAAGTAAAACCAGGTAAAAGAGAATGTTTCGAATAAATATTTTTAATAATACTATGAAACAGGTAAGTGGAGTGTATGTATTAAAGTCAGTTTTTGAATCTTCTTAAGACTTTTATGACATCACATCTCTAAATATAACTTATTCTAACTACCCATATAGTTGTACGATTTTTAGCCTTCAAATGCAAGTTTTTAAGTTATTTTTAAACTTATAGGAAAGATATCTTTTCACAGACATTAAAAACATTCACTCTACTTGACTCTGTTACACTTCATGTGTCAACATCAATTACTTTTGGCTCTGCATTTTTTATTGAATAAAACGATTTCTTGTACCAAAAAAAGCAACTTTAATCAAGCTTTATTGTATCTAAACTTGATATAGTACCAACTATTGTACCATTCCACATTAATAAATGCCATTCGTGATTTATATTGTATAATGATACTCATTTAATTGGATTACAATCTACTGTAACAACGTACAAAATGTCTTGACATAATTCTTCCAACTATTTTTTTATTTTTATCGAGGTAATCAAAGGGCCCATTTCGATAATTCGGTACACTGAGAGAATTTGAACAGTTGTATGTTTTATGTATAATAAGCCAATTCTTAACAATGAATTTTTCATTATAAGTATCAGTCAAAATTTTTTATTACCAGATCAAAACTCTTATACAATAAATGTTTCTAAAAGTTAAAATTCATTTAACAAATATCTAAATTGTTGATGAATAATAAATTCTTATTCAGATTAAAATGTATTCTCTCAGTGTAATATTGTCAGAGCGCAAAGTTGATTAATATAAATCAAGGACGGGATAACAAGTTTTTTTTGACTTACTGAATATGATTTAATGTAAAGAAGCATAAAATATTTTACCTGGCTCTGACACAAATAACAGACGTAAAAGCAACGTTTCTTTCTATGCTTTAGGCCTTAATTTAAATAATTTTATTAAATTCAGCGGGCCAATGAGCACGTGAATTTGAGATCACAATTGTAACTAATAATTTAAATAATATCCACGTAAATCAAATATTTAAATAGCACATTTTTTGAATAATTATACAACACAGTAGGCAGAAATTAGATTCCTTATCATTTTACTAAGCATTATATTAATTTCCTTACCATTTTCAACTAATGAAAATAAAAATATTTACAAATATAATCTACAATTGAATGAGTTTACGTTGTAAAATCATCTGTCGTGATGATACAACGTTTGCTTTTGAAATACTGCGGAGCAACTATTCAGTAGTTATGCGAAAGATTTACCCATAAAAATCTCTTTCGCTTTACTTACGAATTCACAAATATAGTTTCTATATTTACAAATTAAAAAAATTATACTTTTAACTAATAATAACAAATGTACAAAAATTAAATTAAATTATGTTTAACGACTTCATGAAAACTAATTACAAAACATTTTTATCTTTTTTTTTGTTAAGCACATGATCGTTACGAGTTGTGCGATCGGCCTGTGATTGAAACATCAGTTCTCGCTCCTCGCGATACTGGATTAAGTGTTGTTTTTTTAAATGATGGTATACCAGACTTTTGAATTTCTATTTTTGATGACTCTTTAGTGAATTCATGGGAATCAATTATCTTATTTGATACTGACTCTTTAGCGTTTAAAGAAGACTGTCTGACTGATGAATTATTATTCGCACATGATTTTTCTGAATTCCTATTCAAACGATTTGATGTATCAAGACGAGATTTTGTATTTTTTGGCAAACGATCGCTTGGCTTAAGATGATTTTTTGTAGTGTTGAGTTCTACTAATGATGGTGGTCGCTGAGGTGATGAATTTTGATTATTCCACGTGTTACTCCAACTGTAAGTAATAAAAATTTTTTAAAATATACAGACATATTGTTTTGTTCACATAAATAAAAAAAAACATCACTATTTTTTACTCTACTTGAATAACTTTTTTTATCAATGAAACTCACCCCACAAGGCTATTAAATGCAGCATGGAAAATTATTTAATATAAGTGTGTTAATTAAGTGCATTAATGGAAATGATAATAAACAATCTATACTATTAATTGAATCAAACAAATTATAAATATAACTACTCAACATCATTATATATTTTTTCGAGTATTTAATAATTATTTAATTCTTGATCAAGGCAGTTCTAGAATTTTTATCTTTAGTCACACATTTTTTCGTCTTATTAAGATTAGAAATCATCCTTGATACATTCATTAAACTTTGTACATCTTCAAAGCTTTGATTGGTATAAACCTCTCAACTCAGTTCAATTATACATTAAGATGTACGTCAATAAAGAAAAGCAAGAAGCTATGTTCCGAATATATTTAATTGACAGAATGAATCGATTAAGCTAAAGATCTTCATTATGTAGATATTTCTTATGCATGCAATGACTTTATAACAGGTTCTAACAATGCTCAAAGGAAGGTAATACTCGTAAATTAAGCACGTAAACGTAAATCATGATATTCAATACACTTAAAAGAAAATATCCGAATAATAAATCACACAAGTTGACACACTCTACCTTCCCGATCCTGAAGCTGTTTCAGTCGTGTAACCAGAGAGAGAATGAGACCACGAACCAAGGCAGCAATAACAATAGTTCATTGATATGATATACTTGTAAAATGACTTTTAAAAATAGGAAAAATTTGCATCAAGATATTGTGAAAGTAGTTCTTTTATTTAGTTTGTTGGAAAAAATAGATTTACCTTACGAGAGGCCCCATGCCATTCTCTTGTGGAAATGATTGAAGTAATGATGGCCCTGCTGATACTGGACGAATCTACATCATTTGAAAAATGAAATTTTATTACATAAAATAGTCAATTAATTTAACTAATTATTGTAAAAAAAACGTACTTTTTCTGTTTGTGTTGCTGCATTGCATACATCTTTAAGAGGGGACATGTTGCTTCCATAAGTCGAAGAAGCACAGCTCGTTGAATCTACACTATTCATTAATTCTTGTTGCCTAGCTACTTGCAATTGAAGATTCTGAATCATTCTGTCTTTGTCTTCTACTTGGCCTTGAAGGAAAATTACTTGTCTTCGTAAATCTGCCAATTCATCAGCAATATTTAAAGCTCCATTAACTAAAGAACCATTGGAATCGACTGAGGTATCTTCATTCAGGTTATGGGAGAGACCATTCTGTAGAAAGTCATTCTATTGTTAATAGATATAAATTTCCGTCTTAAGAAAATATAATTGAATAAATTAAAAATTACTTACCACCGTTGAGTTGTTGAATGGGTTGAGAGTATCCGCCTTAAATGAAAGTAATTAAGGAATATTATTTTCTCGTTTTTTCTTTCAATGGTAATTTAATGGAGGAAAAAAAATGAGAATAATACAATAAATAAATGGAACGTACCCTCGTCAAAACATTCTCTTCAGTCTTGTGTTTGATAACCAAAGGGAACCAAAAATTAAAGAACACAAAGAAAAAAATGAAAAATGTTAGTGCACACAAATAAATAAATGATATCAAAATTAAATTAATAGTGTTACGGTTTAATCTTTTAAAATTATTCATAAATTACTATACAAAAAAAATTAATCACTGTCCAGTGATAATAGTAGACAATAATTTAAAAAATATTAATTGAATGAAAAAAATTATTGCACAAAATTAATAACAATAAAAAAATAACAATTAAGATAAGTAGTTTTTTTTGGATTATTATACCTCCTGAATGATGCGCATTAGTTTTAAAAGCCCAGCCTTAATATGAACTAAATCCTGGTGATAATTGCATCTTTCCAGCCTTGGACTTCCTTCATCACCAGAGTCGATGTTAGGAGATTGTCCCTGCATGACGTATCAAGAATTTAGAAACACTTTCTTCATAATATATGAGAAATTTCAATAATTACTATAATTAACACATATTATTATAACACTGTCAACTTACATTTCCTGTTGACACCAACTTGAAAGGACTGGGTATTTGTCGTGTTCGCACGCTATCAAGGGAACGCGGTGACTCTGTTCCAGGTCTAGTACGTAAGAGTCTCGATGTTCTTGCACTGCCGATTCTGAATCAAAAAAGGAAATAACTAATTATAATAACAACGAAACAACCTTTTTGCGTAGTAATACTTTCTTCCCCTGCTGGTAATGTTGTGTTGCGATACTTGTATAAATTACTCATATAGAAATTAAATGATTCTGTTCATTATTCATATCTATGATTGAGTCATTTTTTCTATGCACATTATACGTGTATGTCTTCATAATAATTAATTGGCATTATAATTATTATTAGTAATGATAATAACTGGATGCCTCAGGTAAATCGAAGATTTTATTAAAAGCATTATGTTTTATCACAGTTGACTGATTTTAAGTAACAATAAATGTAGACATTCGAGATTAACACATAATCTGAAGACTTACACGTAACATTATCCAACATGATAAATTAAATTCTCTGGATGTTGGGAAAAAATTGAATAAAAAAGCAGCAGTAACTAAACCGTAAATCAACTAAGTAGTTGCGCAAAAAATAAAATAATACCTTGCAGAATCGCATTTCCCATGATTTGTGAGAACAGAATTAATAGTAAACGTAGAAGGTATGACTTTGTTTTGCCTTGGTGGTGGTGATCCACCAGTTGGCGTTGAACTTTCTGAAGATAAACCTGAGTCTTTACCATTCTCAACTGTATCACCTAATCTAAGATTTCTCAAATCATCAGATTCAAGTATATTTTCAACACTATTCACTTTAACTCGAGGTATTAAAGAAGTTCGTCTTTTAGCACCTTTATTAGTGTCTGAATTAGATGCCATTGCGCACACTCAAAGCTGGAAACTCTATTTATCACCAGTAGAATTAATCATCGTTCTGCAAACTTACTGGTTTAAGAGCAGGACAAAAACTAAAGAGAATAAGACAGCGTATTATATAAAAGTGAGCTGACTCATCTCACCATCAACGATTGCTCGGCACTCGCTTGCTTTACTGCTTATTCAAACATTTCAAACGTTTAATAATCTGACCTGCGCACACTTAAAATTCCCCGGATAAATCACTTTCAAAGTCAAGGTCTCAAGATCTTTGATAGAAACATGATGATTGAATTGAATTTTTACTTTTATTTCTTTTATTCATCTTGAATTCTATGTTTTTAATGTTAGGTTGTAGAAAAATTCCATTCTGTTATTAAACTAAAAGGTAAACAATTCAAACATGTTTCCCTAAAATTCTCTGATCACTCCTGAAGCGTCTAACGCTGTTCAGATACTGCAGAGATCAACCTAGACTAGATATTAAATTTACTAGTATGAATTTCGCGCAAGCGCTTCCAGGACTAAGTTGGACGCTCGATATTCTACGAGTTCATGAAGGAGAGGAACAGAACGAAATGGAAGAAGGAGAGCTATGTGGTATGAGATAGGTTGGCCAATACCACATTAAAAGCCATTGACTTGATCAATTTCCATGGAAGATGTAAAGCATGTCTTTATTACCGTATTATTCACAAAGAGAAAATTAACCACGTAATGCAATAGCTCGCAAAAATCTTATCTCATGGTTTTATATTTCACATAAAAGTATTCGGCCTTGACTTTGAATACCAGGACAATTTTTATGCGTTTCAATTATATGGAACTGCAGAAACTCACCCCATAAAAAAAGAAATGTACCGCAGAAGAAGTAAAAATGGGCATTTAGCCAAAGAAAATAAATTCAACTGATAGTTTTCCAGCAATGCTTGGCTGGAGTCGATTTTTCTTTTGATATGTTTTACATGCCAAAAAATTCAGCTTAGCTTCTATAAGAGCGAAAATGTTTGAAATTTATTCTCTCATTACTTCAACTAATATTGGTTTTTTAGAGAAATGGAACAGTAAAAATAAATTACGAGAAAGTTTTTAAATTGTGAATAAAAAACAAAGGTTAACCACAAGTAGTTGGACTGAGGATTATTTTACCTATAAATAATTCTTTTATCAAATACACGCACAACCGCAACGTCCTTGTCCCAGTATAATAAAGGAATATGTTGAGGATCTAAGTCAGTAATTACGGTCGTCGACCTACTGTTTTATATTCAAATAATAGTAAAGATTATTCACTTTTCCGCAGTATAATCCATTATAAAAAACAAGTAAAACACAAGTAAGGAAAGTACTGAGGAATTAGGTTGGATATTTATTTTATTTACTACTGAGTTTAATATTTTTCCCGATTCTTGGAATGGTTCTTGAAAGGCAAATCACTCTTACATCACTGCACACAGAGATTGCTATTGGTCTTTTTACAACTAGTGCCTGGTTTTTTGTTTTAACTGGCCATTGTATAATTTCTTTGAGAAATATTTCAAACATTCAAATCTAGAAGATTTCAGGAACAAATGGCGCAACCGGATAAAACAAGTAGAAGTTGCCAACTGGCCAACTAGTAACGCTCTAATTACAGTTAAAATTGTATTGAAGATATTCTTTTTTCCCAATCGCGTAACAAAGGAGACTCTTTATGCTTTTTTAAACATGTTGAGGGATTTTTTATGATGGTTTACATAATGAAAAACTTGACTAATTGTTAATGTCATTGACCGATGGTATAATGATTTAACCTGACAAAAAACTGATGTCATTCTTAGAATGAATGTAGAGTTATGCTATCCACGCTCTTTGACCTCAATAAGAATCGATGATGAAGTCGCGGAAGACGAGTTTATTGAACAAAAACCTGCATCGGACGACACAGAATACATTTAATCAGAAGAAACTCGAACAAAATTCTTTCCATGGTCTTGACTTAATAGTAGTAAATCAGTTTGTAAACTTGAACGGACAATGACCTACATTTTATAGCAGCAGGTGTTAAACAGCTTACGTAAAACCACAATATATTGATTTTTATCATATTTGTTACAATGATTAAAATATTCATTTACTATAGTCTATTGGTATTGTGTTGTATAGTACTGCCTAGCAAGCTCATGCTTAAAATAATCAATAGCATGAATAAAATAATTATTTACGCTACTGGATATACATTAAGTGTCATGCTAGAAAATATTGGAGCAAAATAAGATAAAAGAAAGCCGTGTCCGAAGCAACAGTGCAAGCACTAATGACTTTTGAGTTTACATTGAGAGAAAAATTATTAAAAAGATGAGAAATTTTCAAATTAAGATTTTGCTTTATAGTCTAAAAGTTATCAACTAAAATGAAATCAATTTTGCAAAAATATTGCTTTTTCATAAATAATAATAATATAGATCTATGTGAAATTTTTTAAAATTAATTCAAATACAATAGTATATCATGAATTATTTAAATAATTCAGATCTGAACAACTAATAGAACCAACTATTGAAGTAAATTTTTCAATTTTAATTAACAATAGTTCAAAGAGAGAATGGTTTAAAAATTATAAGAAATGTTTAGAAACTTTCTCTCAATGAATTGTTATTAAAAACATTTTGTTAAGAAAGAGTATAATGATAGTAGACTTCGACAAAGATGAGAATTAGTAAATGTAGTATGATTCCTATGCCTTCAAGATTATTGATCAAACTGATAACACTCGTCTTCGGACACGCTGCCATTTACACGAAGGATAAAAAAATAACTGGGATCATCCTGATAATAAAACAGTTGACTATAAATGCGTTGGAAGATAAAATATATATAAACGTGTAATAAAATAGGGTGGATGAAGATATTTGGACGACTATTTACCCATTGCTTGAAGCCAAACTCGCATCAGTTGTAGCAATTTTAGTCCCCGATTTCTGCATAGCTGGCTCCTTCATTATCGTCCTTTTTATAAATTTATTTCATGAACCACATGGCCTTTTGATTTAATCAATTTTTTGTTCATCATACCGAGGTAAGAACAAAGCTGTCTCAACAATGTTGCTGTGACCACTGTATAACGTTCAAACGCGAAGTGTCATCAGTGCATCACTCGAATAATTAATGAAAAATGTCTTTCTGCACTCAAGTGTCTCACTTGAAAGTCACAAAGTGAGTAAATAATGAGTATAATAAGTATAACTCAGTCATAAGAATCCTTTTTTACTCTTTTGTAGACATTCTCTCTTGTCTCAATGCTTTGTATTGTCTCTTTCTGTCCTGCAGAATTTCATTCATACACTTCTCTCTTGATTTCATCTCACTTTTAATGACAATCATGTTTCATCCCATTAATGTGATAGTAAATAGTTATAAAGTGATAAAATATATATTCATCATTAACTATCTTTATGATTACGTATTTGTATACGAATACTACTTAAAACTGGATAAATATTTTTCATAACTTCCATTACTCGAAGACTATGCTGATATATTGTGATTTAATATTTTATATATACTACGAGGTAAATATTTTGGCTAATTATCCTTCATTATTTAAATATTGAATTGATATTCAGAATAAATGCAAAAGTTGCTTCTTTTAACACAAAAATAAATAATTATCAACTTCTATTTCTCTATAAAATGGTTCTTCTATCCGTCATAATTATTCTTGTGGCTTGACATATGTTTCGGCACCATTATTATTCTAATCTACCCACGAGTAAAAAGTATTGTAAAATTTATCAATGTAAATAATCTTCTAGGCTAGCTTTGGAGTACTTGGATCAGTATAATGATTCTTCACTAGACTGTAACTATTTGGATAAGTTATCATTTTATGAAATTGTAAAAATACGTATTTTTATCAGAATTATTGCAGTAAAAGTCCAAAAGTGTTATCTAAATGTGATCCACTAAAATTTTGTGCGTTATAAGTAAGTTGGATTATTTGGAATGTTAATAATTAGTAATTTTAACTCTAATTATAGGAAGTTTTGATAAAAGAATTAACCACTGCTGACTATAAATCTCATGCCCTCTCCTAGCACCTGGTTTAATTTGTGCAATTAGTCATCAAGGGAGGGCTGGTGAGTGTTTGCTAGTTAGGATAAGTCAGTTGATAGTAGTCCCCACCCGTAGCTTCCTCTTCATTTTGCAATTGGTTCACTCGTTTTTTAAGTGCACTAGAACACAAAATACTACCTCTCAATAATCCGAATAATGAAAGCTAGTACAACAATGTGTATTTTTTTATTTTATTCGCTTTTGTCCATAGACATAAAAAGAACGAATATTAGTGCTTTATGCGACCGAGTTCAATGAAACCTTTATTCAACGATTACATTAGAAGCCGATAATTTAATCATAACCTTTTATACCCGACAAAAAGATACGTTCTTCATGTACTCATTGTAGTTTTTAAAACAACAAAAGCGTTTTTTGTTAGTTGATAAGTCTGTATTTTATATAAATTGGAAATAATGAAGAATGAAACAATGAACTTTAAGAACCCCTTTTCGTTGAAGTTTTATTTAATTATTTATATAAAGCAAGCTAAAATTTGTATATGGCTGAATAATTTTAAGCATGCCGACTGGTAATCAAGATGTTTTTAATAATATGCTAGGATGAATGTGAAAATTTCAGTCACATGCAATGCAAAAAACAATCATTATAATGAGCACGAAACAGCAAGGAAGATAAGGACTGAGATTAATTTCAAGGTGTTATGATTGACACATTAAGTAAATAATTAGTTTTTGTTTCAATAGAAAGAACGAAAATGAAGTTTGACTAAATTCTCTCTAAAATATTCCCCTCCTTTCCTCCATTCAAGCTTACAAATTCAATTGCGAAAATTGGCGGCTAAATGTAGATGTCGAGGGATTCAATTATTCGAAAATAAGTTTTGAGCTCCGGGTCATGTTGATGTCATTAACGTAATTGAAGGTTCTTTATTACATTACGGACACAGTCGATATTCATATTTTTATCATGAGTGCAATCACGTCGCGGTGAATTAATGAGATAATGGAGTAAGAGTGTTCATTTTAATTAACAACTTGAATGAATAAACTTCATATAGAGAAGTTTCTTCAATATTTTACAGAAATTTCATTATAACTATAAAATAGAAACAAATTAATTAATAAAGTTAGTTTTAAAAAAACCTTCGCTTTATTTTTAAAAATAAAAGCACTGGAATTTTTATAGGTTTACACAAAATGTCAGTTTTAAAAAAATATATACACTGATTACAGGAAGCTGTCAGACTGTTAGTAACGGAGAGAGAATGAACCGCGACGCCCTCAACTCGCGATAACTCGCCTCACAGCAAGTTGAACACTAAATATAAAGCAACGAACAAGTTAATAGCGTAGGAAAATACGAAGCTCTTCGATCACGTCAGTCAGCCACCGGCTGCGCTGTCAGCATTCAATAGGAAGGGGAAACCATACTGGAATAGAAGTCAATGTGGGTAATCTTTCACCCGAGTATTTTATCGTTTTCATAAAATATAAACTAACTGCTTGTATTCAAAAATCATGACTCTAAATCATTAAACCTCAAGTCGTAAAAATAAAACTGCATTTTCTTTTCCATTTATGGAGCATGCAGACTTCCTTCCAGAACTCGTAAACACTATTGATTGTTGTAACATCAATTTTAAACAATAATAATAAAAATATTGATGATCATTTAATTTTATACTTATTGACCAGTTTTTTTTTCTAATTCTAGAATAATGATAATGGCTTGTAATAGAAAATGAATGATTAGTTTTTGATGTAATTAATTGAATATGATAAATAAAATCAATTTATGAACATTATCGATCGTCGTTAAAAATCAATTTTAATTACTTTTCAATTTACTTTAATAAATAGGTCTCTGCAAGGTAAAAGTTGTATGGAAGGAATTATGTTCATTTAAAAGAAAAAATGATAAATGTTTTTTTAAACCTCCTCTGAGTATCTCTAAGAATATTCGAAAATTCGACTAATTTTAAAATATCACTCGATAACCTTAATGCGACATGGTCTTTCCTTGGTTCTTGAGTCAGAAACCAGTTAGCATTGAAAAGAATGACAAGTGTCTCAAGGAAAACTAGAATATACAGGATATGTTGTTAACTAAAGGACAAAATAAGGCTAGACCTATTTACACAATTACATATAAAGCATCTGTAAAGCAAAAATAAAATTGAATAAAGCATAAATGATCCATGGTTTATCTTATCATTAATATCGTTTGATTGACTATTATTTCGTTTACTTTGAATATCCATATTAAACTTATAACAGTCAAAAGTTTTTTCGAGTCATGGATCATTATATTAAATGGATAAAAAGCTGTATGTACATACCCAGATTCTGTTGGAGGATTATTATTATTGTTGTTGTTGTTGTTATTGTTGATATTTAAATTATGATTTGCTAAATTAAGATTTGAGTTTTTTGGAGGAGCATTTATTAATGAAGACAATTCTCGCATTACTTCTTCACCTTGCGCTTCAAGTTCTGAAAGAATTGTTGTCTCATCGATCTCATGTACTGCTGGACTGGTATCCATCCTACATAAATTATTAATAAGTAACATCATAAATCAAAAGAAATGGGTAAAAAATATTAAAGTAAATAAATTACCATCGATTGGATTCGCCATAAGAACTGGTTTCACTCCTTTCATAATCCAGCATCAAATCATCAGATGTAATTGACTCACATGTTGACAAAGTGCCTACACTATCAGTTCTACTTATTCGTCGGCAATTTATAGGACTGCTTTCTACATTTTTTCCTTGTTGTAAATCTGTAAAAGCCGCAAAATAAATTAATCACAAGATAATATAAGTCAAGTGTATTCAGATTAAATTCATGAATTAAAAGTTAAACAGTAACTTACTTGGTTTATTTGGAATAGGCTCAACTAATGTATGACTGTTGTCGGTAACTGCTTGACTCGCTCGACCCGACTGAGTTTCATGTGCACCTCTCATTGTATCATCAAATGTCAATCCAGGTTGATCAGCAATTTCATCGTCGAAAAATTCTCTTCCTTCTGATAAACTTAGAGAATTCGAAACATTTGTAGAATTTTCCGGAGAATCATCTTCAACAATATTTTCGACTTTTTCCACCACTTTTTCTCTTTTCGACTGCTGCCCGTCTGACTGCGTAATACTGGCTGTTAAACTATCAACTAAACTATCAACTGGTGAGGTCTCATCATCTATAAGAGTAGTAGAAGTTGCAGCAGCAGCTGCAAACGCAGGATCTTCAATGGTAAGCAATACTGAGCGTAAAGTACTCTTTGGCAGAGATCCACTCTTAACTGCGTTAGAAATAGTCTTAAGATGTTCAGTGTGATTGGCTCGACACTCATCGCTGGAGCTGAAAGAGTACTCATCGGCCATTGCCTCACCATGACCGTATTCAGGATCATCGGAGCTGGGTGGACTGAAGTCTGATTTAATTGAAGAAATCTTTTCTGAACGTGAACGATCTTTGTATACTTTCTCTTCACCAAGACCTTCATCATAACCCTCAGATGAGGTTGTTGACATTGAAGTTGTAGATTCTGTATACCTATTGTCCTTATTTGTGATTCTTTGATACTGATTGGTTCGCTCTCGAACTAAACCTGTGCTGAGATTGACGCTGGCAAAAGCCTTAGGCAATGCAATCACTGAGATCTCAGTGACAGTACTGTCATTATCTACATCTCGTACATCGAAACTCTTTCCGTTGACGACCATCCTTAGATTTCTTGGTCTGACATTAATCCTTCTAGCAGGAGAACCTGCATCCATATAATCCATATTTCTCAATGTTTCGCTATCCACAGAATAACCCGGTTGACTACTGATTCCTGAATCTTCAGTTCCAGAACCTGATTGAGAACTAGCGGAGCCTTTTGAAGCAGTTGAAATCTTTCGACATTGATTGGCCGCTGTTTTGGCGACCTTTGAGTTCGAGTCATTGACTCTCACAGCATATTGTGGCAAAGGTAAATGACTTGTATGGAGGGTATATTTACTGACTGGTTCTGGAATGCCTGTCATTCTTCGATTTGTTTCGCCCATGGCATGATTATTATTGTTATTATTATTATTATTGTTGTGATGATATCCTGGAGGATTATTGACTGGAGATGGTCGTAATTTTGAACTGGGCTGGGTGGAGTACATTGGCTGAATTACTTTTGATGATGCTCGTGAGATATGATGAGTTGCTTCTTGCTGCATCTTTTCTTGATTAAAATGACTCGCACTATGACTGGAACAAATGTCTGCCACTTTGTCTGTGTACCTTGCTTGCGGTTGTCTAAAGCCGAATCGATTAGTTCTCACGGCAGCTCCACTAACAGCTTCTTTTTTGGGTGGTGCCAATCTAGGTGTCGATCGACCTGATGACGCACTTTGAACTCGATGATGTCGATCATCATCATCAACTAATCGTCTCCTCACTTGTTCAGGTCCAACAGATTTAGAACGTTGTGGAATCTCCTCGGTCTCATAATTTTTTATTGATGTGTGCTGATTGTCGCCACGAGATTTTCGCCGGAATCCGAAGGATATGGCAGTGCCTCGTGTCTGGGGTACCCCTCTTTTCGACGAACTTTTGCTATCGTCCTAAAATAACAAAAATACATTAGTCTGTGACAATTTTAGTGACCTAGAAAATATTAATCATAAAGATATGAATATTAAAGATTAACAAATTATTTAAATAAATTAAAAAGTAGAGTAATTTACAGAGTAGACAGTTTGTGAGCTTCAATGATTCGCACTTAACACCATGCACTCAGAAATTAATAATATGTGAGTAAGACATTTTAGCAGAGAGACCACTGTCGGGAAACAAAATCTATTTCGGGTCTCAAGACCCTGAGAGCATGACAGTAGACTCTGTCAGCAGAAGTTGAAAACATTACGAGAATAGTACAACTGAATAGCAAAACATATGACTCAGGAGAGAAATGTGATTTATATATATACAATATTATATTTTATATATATCCCTATCGTTACAAATCAGTAACTTTTACTAGTAGTTTGACAGCATATAAATAAAGACACATAACACCCTTACCACCACGAAATTGCTGGCGCAACCATTCTCGTCTTCCACACCATCATCCTCTCTATAGCGATATCCATATCGATAATCCATGACTCTATCACTTTCGTAGTCCAACTATTAACGTTTTAAAAATTTCAAGAGGCCTAAGTAGTCATTACTTTACTTGAGTCATTTCGTATAATTCCCTTCCACCGTCTCTTCTACAAATATAATAATCAGCACGTTCACAAGAAGATTATCAAATTCCAAGGTCTTGCTGTCTCAACGGATTTGCACGAGTAGTTATCACGGGATATCGCTCACAGTGGCGTAATTCACTTGATACTTGGACAGATAAGTTGAAAAAATTGCAAACAGTTGGTTGTTACATCGTTAATCACATTGATGGTCTTGTTAGGACCGCCAGGTTGCCAAAGTGCGCTTTTCAACGTTTCTTTGCGGTTACGCACTCCAGATAACCCTGGTCAGTCGAGGGTAGAAGGAAATCGATTCAATGTTCCGCGCCGGCGTCAAAACGCCACTGCGCGAACGCAAACTAGGCAGAAATAAAAAAATTCAATTTAAGTGGATGTTCTTTGTGAAATTTTTTTTTCTTGATAAATGATTATAATTTTTTCCTGGAGTAAATATATTTAATACAAAATGTCTGTATTATGGAAGATTAAAATATCATGCAGTAGATATTAAATGATGCTGATGTCAAGTTCAATTTTTTTCTGCAGTTGTGTAATAGAATAATCCTGTAATCCGATCAATCAGACACAATGAGAGTACAAGGCTTCTTATGTACAGATATTTTCGAAAAAACTTAGGGATCCAACGATAAAAATAAATCAAGATAGATTGTTTTCTTTTTTTAGACTTTTACGTAAAAGGAGAATTCATTGAAGTATAAAATCAATCATTTGATTAAAAAAAAATACAAGGAAATGGAAATAATTCTTTTGATAAAATATTACATACAGATCAATGAACAAATTTATGTTGATATTATTGAATTATACCTAACAACAACGATAAACAAGTAAAAAGAGAAATAGTATTTTCTTGAAATAAAAATATTTTTTCAGATATCAAAAGAAATAGATTCTTCTTTTCAATAAAAACAATTTATTTCTAAATTAAATATCACAAAGCAAAACCTCTAATGAAATTACAGTAAATAGTTTCATTAAACTTCAGAAGATTTTTAAAGAAAATAATAACCTAAGAAAAAAAATAGAATGCAGTGCTGCTCTTTCTAAAATAGCTGTTATTTTTTCAATTAAAGACACAAAATGAAGCCTCGAGCTAGAATAAAACTTATCTGAAAATTGGAAGTTGAGTATCTTTGCATAAAATGACCTCTTTTTTGTAGAAGAATTTTTTCTTAACACTCTCGAGATACTCTTGTAGTATCTCTAAAGTCAAGAAGTTTGTTCGAAAGCAGTATACTAGAGAAAAAAGCATAAAATTCTAAAGAAAGAGGAGGAATGGATGGCATTTGTGAAGAGATGACTCACGTGGTCCGACCGGCGCCACGAGAGAATCGATACCCGGAGAACCGTACTGCGCGAACGTGATGTCTACTACAACAGACTACACCATTTTCTGCAATGGTCTTCATTCTCACCTGACTTTAATCGATATTTATTGCAGGGAGCACTCAGGATAAATTAATTCCATGTGACCTTTACCTTTTCAAAGTTGATTGTACACCTGATGCATCTTATTCTGTCATTCTAATTATACTTATATAAACTATCAAGGTCTACTGCAGTCATTAAATGACGACAAACACTGCATTGCGAAGTCTGGGAAAAATTTCTTGTGCTCTTCTCTTCAGGGGTCAATATAAGGTTTACAATTGACTTTCTACTTTTTAAATTCTCATTACGCTTCCTCCCTACATACTGCATGTTTTCTCATTGTACCAAGCACTTTTATTCTCATCAGTGATTGTGTTTCCGGTGACTGAGCACACTTGCTTTACAATGATAGATAAATGGTAAAATAAATAAAAAAAGATTAACTAAATACAATGTTAGGGAGCAGAAACCTGAACGATCAAGTGAATGGCATTTGCATATGACCTCAATTTTTATATTAAATTTAGAAAGTCATTTACAACTTGATCATCCTTGCTATGTATAGTAACGATGATTTAACAATTTGATAATTTTTTTTGGTTTCATAAAAAAACCTTGGATATGACATTCACACTTTCCAATGACCATGTTCGATTTCAGTAGAATAATTCCAATATAAACTTATGTGATATTTTCTGGGGATTGAAATTCTGTTCATTAATTGGTTGTAAAAGTAGATAAAATCAACAGGGACACTGATCCTCAAGAGTTCTAAGGTTAAATTAGACATATGAACTTGAACCGTAAGTTGAGCGCATGCGATCAGCTGGTTCATCAACTTCCTGGTTATTGCTAGCAACCCAGGAATGTTGACTTCATGATACCCATACACGAATGTTGTTACACACAAGAGGCATGCGATTCCATGCGGAACATATTTAAAGCCCTGTATGTTACGATGGCTATCATGGAGCCTCTCTCCAATGTGTTGACTAACGGTTCGCAGGAAAGACCTCTGGGGAATCTCAAGGAGAAATTTCATTTTTCTCACCACAACCCTCACATTTTATTGCAGATATATAGTAATCTCCCACGCTCTTTAAAGTTCATGAGTTCTCTCTTTCAGCTACATTTACTGAAATATATGGGTATAAATATATAAATTTTCGCTGGCCAGTTATTGATGTTTGCATTCTGGCAATATTTCAATTGCCATTGAAAACACTCTGGCATAAATGGGATTTCTCCAATTGGAGGCGGAAGCTTCCACTTTACAGACTACTTAACATGGAAAAAGTTGCAACATAAGAAAATAAAATATGCTTTCGTTTGATTTTATATTTTAAACAGGTAATTGAATGTCATTTAGATGATTACCGTCAACAAATATTTTATCAAGAGAAAGTATAATTTGAAATAATCAAATTCAATTAAATTGGTGAACATCAATAAGTTCTTACATCATGATTATATTTATAGTGACTAGAAACGCTAAAACTATGTTCGTATATCAGAAATTGATTATTCAATTTAATGAACTGGTAAATATGTGTGCAGATTGAGATAAGCAAAACAAAAAAATAATTCTGATTAAATTAAAATTCATAAATCATACTTCTTTACGAGTTTGTTTATTCTGTAATAATTTGATATCATTTGGTCAATAATAATAATCATTTTACGACGCAATTAGTAGAAAATTATAATTTTATATCTCTCAATTACGAATCTAGAAATCAAAATTACGTATTGATTCTTATTTAAAATTTATATAATCAATCCTGGAATAAAATTAGATAGTAATAATGAATGTTAATGTTTTTATCTACATAAAAATATCTTAATTAAAAAAATCAAGATACAATTTCAAAACCTGAAATATTAATTCGAATAATAGAAGCTTAAGAAAATCATTGAAATACTTATTAACCTATTCAAGGATTCTAGAAGACTGTTGAATACTGTTAGATCATGAATTACCATAAAATAGCTCTTGGAATACTAAAGGCTTCATCTTGGAATCCAAGGTTTTTAGCATATTTTTAATTCAAAGTGTGATTGAAATAAAATAATTTTTAGCAGAAGGATTATTTATTATAATTTTAATTAAGAAACCAGCAATTTCTGTCGAGAAATTACTTTTAAAACACTTTTATCATCATTAGAAGGCTCTAAAGGAGTAAAATATGAGAAAGATAATGTAGAAGAATTTTATGGTATGCTAAATAGCATTTCCAACGGTGTAATTACCACTTGAATCAGCATACTAGTGCAGCTCTACCACACACCGTTGCTTACCAAACGCTTGGTTGACCACGCGATCATTAGAAAATTTATTATCTATCCTACAATCGATTGATTCGTGAGATCATTAATAGTGTTGATTCATGTAGCAGCTTCTTTAGATTGGACTAATTTTTTTTTCATTTTTATATGCATATGTCTCTCGCGATATTTCTATATCTTCAACTACTTGAGCAGCAAAACATTGTCGGTACATAAATTGTACCAAGTACTGATCGAGAAATTAAACTTTTCTATTGATTATTGAAAGCAGGTCACTCATTTGAACGTATAGAGAGTATTAGCCTGAGTACCAGTCTCGTTTAGTGTAAGATATTTTCTACAAGTTAATGTCAATCAATTAAAATTGAAGCCCATGGCTGAATATTTTAGAAACTTGACTGCATGACAAGTCAAATCATTGTTACTTGTTGATGTTTTGAAGCAAAAAAACAGCATGAAAGAAATTAAAAACAAAAAGTGATGATTAATTCATGAGATTGTTGAATATCAAAATATAACGGTAATCTATCAAGACTATCAACAATAAGAAAATAATAATTGATGCCCACAAGTACTTTCCCATGTTCGAGATACTGCACAAGATAATATCAGAATATATAGTACAATCATTTTGTATCTATACAACTTACTTAGTTGGTTAGTGATCAACGTACCTCCTACAGATCAGCATTCCTATATCAGCATGCATGCTTCAATATCCTCCTGTTATCACTTTCATTCCCCTTATGAGGTTTTTAATCAAAATAAAACTACTATCTCGTGCTTTATACTTCGAACAAATATTTATAATGAATACAAATTGGTAACATTTGTTGATTAAACTTATGGCAACAAAAAGAAAAAAATATTATCGCTAACGAGATGAGAAACTCTGAATTATAAACAATTAAATTATTAAAAAATGTTTGAAATAGGAACGAAACATTAATTAACAAGATAGAATAAACTACCGGGTCATTATTCTTAGTGACAAGAGTTGGAGCATAGCAAATTGGAAATGAGAAATTAGATGTTGAAAGATACTTTATATACTAGATAGAGTTTTTTATTCCGTTGAAGTAAGCAAATCAATAGATGGATATAATAGTGAGAACCTGAAGATGAACAAAAAACCTTTATGTATCCAAAACTGACCTATATTAAAGTAAAATACCATTTTTGAATAATTAATGTAGTTTTTACCGTAAAAATTGAATTGAACTTTCTCATAGTCTTGAATTAATTTTAACTAACAATACCTTTCAAGCTCCAACCTTGATCTATTGTTTTTTAACCACAGAAGTGAAAGACTCCTTCAACAACTTATGTTCATGAATAATATTATGAAGAGGAATTTGGCAAATTATTTTACAGATAAACAATGAATTTGTTTTTTAGGCAACATGATTAACTTAAAATTCATCATTTAATGGATAAATGATTTTCTATTGAACCATCCGCATGAAAATGTTTCAAATACCTTGTTTCATTTCCTTCTACCGACAATTAAACCCTATAATTAAGATCCACAAATAGTTTATGGAATAGGACAACGGAAGAAGCATCCTGTTTTATTTACGCAACAAAAGGATATTACTATTCCAACTCTACTGTGATAATTAAACCCACGAGATTACGTTAATCAAATTCCATGAGTGAACAGAAGAGCGTGAAGCACGCAAATGTTGATTGTGCTTAAAAATATAATAGCAATGTTGAGGAAAAAAACACAATGTTGAAGAGAAAAGTGTAGTGGAAAGCGAAAGGAAACCAAGAAAATCATGATTTAACAATGAATGCACGCGGCAGTGTCGAAAAGAATGATTGTATGACATTAAATTGTCGTCGGCTTATGGTTTGTAGTTTGATGTAACCGATCCTCATAGAATACCGTGGTTTGTCTTATTATATGCGAGCAAACCTACTGGTAAGTCGTCAAGCAAGTAGAAGAGGTCGACGCACTCACAATATTTGTATTCTATTATATTGTATTGCTTCCTCGTTTCGGACTACAAACTTGAAAAAATATATCTCTCTCAAGCATACATGTTAATTTAAAGACCCTGAAGAAGAAGTATTTACTTAATAGCATTGTCATCATTTAATTAAAAAAAAAAAAGAAAACATAATTACCTTATTTTTGGCGGGCTTGTCCATGATTCGGTACGACGAAGCTGCAATGACAGCGCCCGCCTTACGAGATACGCATTGCCCCATATAGATATGCCAACTTGTTTTCTACACCTGTAGTTAAATAAAACAAAATTAGTAACTGTTTTATAATTAATATTAAAAGTTTTAATGTGAATTATTTTATCATAATAACCATCACCTTGATTGTTATCTTGTGAAAAGTAATTCTAAAAATCATTTAAGCTTATTTAATTAGTAGATCTTAAGGTAATTATTTTAACATAAATTGGGTAAATGGATGCCCAGACTCTGAATGATCAGAAAATGAGATTATTTTTTTTTTTTAATGGCTATACATATATATTTATTTTCGGTCATAAAATTACTTTTCAAAGATAAAATGACATTGAAAATGATTTATAACTATAGAGCTACAGCAGAACTGTTATTTCAAACCCCAGTTGATAAAATTGCCTGAAAAGAATAGCCAAGTATAGAGCCAGAAATATCAAGATAAATAGTGCAGTATAATATAAAATCAATAGAGTAATGTAGAACTATCATATATAGAGCTTCAAAAATATTGTTCAAGATTTTATCATCCTCCCATTGACCCTTGACTCACTGATTATAGTCTACTTTTCATAGATGTTAATCTAATAAGCTATTAGTATATCTACATGAAAGTGCTCTAATTAAAACCGTATGCTCAATTTGGGCTTGATTAATATTCCTATTGAATGAAATAAAAATAGACTAAAGACTGACAGCTGATGATATAAATATAAATAGTACAAAGATTCTAACTATTAATCTTAAGCAGACGTAATGAGACAAGTTGAAATGAACTGGAAACATGATCTGCAATAAATTAAGCATGAAATGAATATTTAAATAGAAATTAACACAGTATTTTTCAATTTTTATTACATGCAGACACCTTATCAAAACCCATATACAATTTTCCCACACGATTTTTCCAATTTTAATGAATTTTCATACTACTATTATCAATTTTACTCACAACGAAATTGATAATCGACGGCGTTGTATGCCAAGTTTAATGTATCGATTTTGCAAAATTGCTGAAAAAAATAAATTCTTCTCTACACATTCCAAGGATTGAAAACAAATGAAATACATGACAACAATAGGATCAGTAATAACATTCAATAGATTGGTAAATAAATTAAGAAAAAAAAAATGTTATGTTGGACTTCAACTGTAATTAAACGATTAATATTAACAAAAAATGACATGATTTTCAAGAAAATTCTTTCAAGACCTATGAACTCATCGTAGACAGCAATCAAGAATATTGAATCAAGACATTAGAAACTTGATCTTTTATACCTTTTCTTACGGAGCTAATCTTTTTGGGCAGCTCACGGGAATTCGGTGGATTCATTATAAAACCTTAAACAATCGCACTAGATCCAACAGCGTACATAAAGCGCAAGCATTGCACACAATTACAAGGAATCACGATTAGTTTATGTATTGTCACACTTGTTATTGCTTATTATTGTTTCTTAGATATGATGTAGACACTACACATTTGTTCAAGTGTAAGTACGAGCGAGAAATTCACAGTACCACCTGTCATTCGTGTACATTCGATAGTACAGAACATGCGTCGTGACGTCACCCCACCATGCCTCGAAGATCGAGCATCACCGGAAATGTCCGACGTGATGCGAAGATAAAGAAAAATACAGAGCCACCTATGAGACGATTCATGAAATTTTTATGACAGATGGAAAAAAAATTAATGCATTTTGGAGTAGAAATTTTTAATTTAAAAACGTTCTATCTCTTGGTATTAATGCTTGATTAATAATAATCAATTCCAATAATTTATTTCAATTTTTACATTTTTTTTATTTATCTTTTAGCATTAAAATCTGTATTTAACATATGTTAGAGAGAAAAAAGAAGAGCTGCTATTGATCTTGCTTTTCAACGCCAAAAATTATTTATTTATCCGATACATATGTTGATGCAGTTGAACTATCAGATTCTTTTTTACCAACAACATCTATGGCTCAGTAGTTCTTACAAATTCATTGAAAGTCTCTTGAGTTTTCTCTATTTGGGAAACGTCAGCCAATGAGTTTTTAAAGGTTATGTCACTGCTTGTGATGATAAAAGTAGTGCGGGTAATGATGTTGCTGGAAAATGGTGGGTTCTTTTAGACAGTAATTCGATCCTTTGACCAAATGTGGGTGTGGAGAAGTTTATTTTTCCTTGGTTTTCTTTCAGTTCACTCGAAGTGATTCAAACTTTTAAGTGATTTAATTATCAAAATTTTGGAGTAAAAAAAAGATCGTTTTCCAATTTGGAGTATTGTACACGTGTTAACTAGTTGTAAAAAGTTTTATTGACTATCAAAATGGTAAGCAAATCACTTGATAGATTAATAATACATGAAGTAAAATGATAAATAGAGTATAACAATTTATGTAAATTAATGAAGAAAATGTTTGTGCTTAAAAAAAGACTTTTAATTACAGCAAAATCCAAATGATGATACTGAGTGGAATGATATTTTGCGCTCAAAGGGAATTATTCCTGAAAAACCAAAGGAGAAGGAAGTCACAGAGGATGATATTATTGATATTTTAGAAAGTACTATAAACCAAAAGACTGGTCGAGGTAATTTTTTATAACATGAGAATTAATTTCAGAATTATTAATGAATTTATATTCTGTATCATTACTACTGTGATTAATCAATTTACATGCGTGAAAGTTTCTATTAAGTTAATGAATCTTAACTATTATTGTTAGTAGAAGATTTTAAGTTAATTAATTGATCTATTATAGATGCTAAAACATTAGAAGATAAAACCTTGGATGAGTTAGACGAACTTGAAGATGAAGAAGATGAAAAAGTACTTGAAGAATACAGGAGAAAAAGAATGGCAGAAATAAAAGCATTAGCTGAGAAATCCAAATTTGGGGATCTTAGGGAGATATCAGCCCAAGATTACGTGTCAGAAGTTAATAATGCGGGTGAAGACGTTTGGGTCGTTCTTCATTTATATAAATCTGGGTAACTTTGCATGCATTATTTATTCTAACAGAGATACGGTGGTTCCAAGTATTAATTAATTATATTACTGCTTTTTTTTTTATAACAGAATTCCCCTGTGTACGTTGATAAATCAATACTTAGCATCTTTAGCTCGAAAATTTCCAACTACTAAATTCTTAAAGAGTATTTCTACTACGTGTATCCCCAACTGGCCTGACAGAAATTTACCAACTCTCTTTATTTATCACAATGGGAATATGACGAAACAAATAATTGGAGCTATTGAACTTAGAGGCATGAAACTCACAGAAGCAGGTAAATTGAATTATTAATTTGATCTCTACCTATTCTCTACACTAATCTTAATTAAATTGTACATTTTTTTTCTATTAATCAATTTCAGAATTAGAATGGATGTTGGGTCAGGCAGAAGCCGTACCATCTAAAATTAAAGAAGATCCAAGACCAAAGGTGCGAGACGTCCTTTTTACTAATTTACAAAAAGAAAAAGAAGATGACCTTTCAGATTCCAATGATTGGTGATATTGAGAATTCAAAAAAATATTTATCAAATCTACAGAGTATTTATCATGTATTTAGATTATTTACTTAAAAATTTCCAATATTTGTCAATTAAAATGTTCGAATTTTTAACATTTTTTTGATTTTTTATCATCTAAATTAAAAAAAGATTAAATCAATACCGTGAATACATCTTTTTACTTACACTTTTAATTGTTTTTAAAGAATCATAGTATTAAACCTCGGGTATTATTTAAAATGATCCCGCTGACCAAGCTCATACTCTGCGAATTATCAATGTGTTTCTACAACATATGTGTGTTCGTGCTTAACATGCTTTTATCCTGATTTCATAAGTTAAGAGCTTTTTTTCAATTTTTATCGATGAAGATAACTTACCTAGCCCGATAGCGATAAGAACGGAAAGATAAGACACAGATGCCTTAATACACTAGAAAGTATGATAAAATGAATAATTTATACAATTTAAATAATGATACAACTTCAGTCATTTATGTTTTATTTACCTGTTTATAAAACGACAGCGTTAAAATAAAAAAGTTCCCAGCTGTGAGCTGTGGTTGGTTTCGTGCTTGAATTAGTATCAACATCAAAGCTCGTGAGATCTTTGGTTTTTGATTAATCCAGTCGACTTCGAATGATGTTTTTTCAATCTGTTCATTTTTCTTCGATAATAACTCACCAAGCCAACAGTAAGTAAACAAAGAGAATATGGTCCAAAAATCATAGAATATTTGTAGAGTAAACTCAGTGAAGTTTCTTGTTTGAACTGACTGGAAAATAGAAATTTTTTTTATCAACATGTACTATCAATTCTAATAATATATTCAATGTATAATGAAAAGAAAAATACATATATATTATTACTTCGATAATTGTAAATCCTGCAATACAAAAATGGATAATTGAGAAACAAATTTTCAATAATGCAATTTTATGGAAACATTTGTTGATGATTTTAGTGAATTCAATTAATTCAACATGATAATCAACGATACATTTGAGACATGAGCAGGATTTTCGTGTACTTCTGATCAAATTCACTAGTGATAAATCATTATTATCTACTGAATGCTTAAGTACTCCTTTATATTCACGAATCGTATTGCAAAGTACGGCCCATTGTCCAGCGCAGTGGAGAGTCATAGATATAAGGCAAGTATCAATACTCACAAAAATGAGTACTGATATAATAATACAGATTATTGTCACGATATTCGTGGCCAGTATAATCGATAGGCTTGTTAATGAATATGGATACCAGCCAATTTTCAGCACTTTATTAGGAATTTTTTGACCAGAAATTAGTGTACTGATATATGGTTGTAGAATATACCCTAAAAAAAAACAATTCACATGAAAATATCAATAAATTGGTTTACTTTGATCATGTACATATATTCTTTTAGATCAAGTCATTAAAATAAATTTTATGAATTATCAGAAAACTTTTATTCAAAGGGATAAAATAAGAAGGCTATAATTAAATGTCTTGATTGAAAAAGTTTCTTTGATGGATATCATTAAAATAAGTTATTCCTAGAATATATAAAATAGCTAGTCGTATAACACAGAGAAAATATATCACTCTCACCCCCAGCACATGTAGATATAAGTAAAATAGTGAAGCGTACAATACGTCGAGATTTGATTACATATCGGTGCATAGTTTCTTTGTCTTCTATTGGAATATCATGAATACATTTCCAATTGTCATCCATACGTTGGATAATTGATGAAATAAAATGGATGTTATTACGCATCAGACACATTTCAATAACGACAAGTAAAATATAGGCTACCCAACCAATAGACTCCATAGATTTTCCAATAATCTCTTTTATGAAGAATAAACTCATTATGCTGGGAAATAAGCACACAGTCATGATTGAGATGAAGATTAAGAAGAACCTGAAGAAAGTTGTACCAGGCCATAAGCCAAATGAGCAGAGAAAAGTACGTGTTATATCAACTTCAGAATCAAAGTTATCGTACTTGGTTGACTTTTCTTGAAGCATAGTGTATATCTTAAACTGACGGCTAAGTAAAAACTAAAATGCTTTTACGATATTTAGAATTAATGGCTGTTCAAAGACTAAAGGAGATGGACGTTGAAGGATTATTAAGTACACAATAATTATTTTTTAATGTTGTCTTAAAAGTTGTTTTTTGAAGGAAATAGACGGGTAATTTACTGATTTATTTATCAGATCAATTATTTATGTGACATAGACAGGGATCATAAGTAGAATCCATTGATTAGGCTCTGAGGAGCAGCAAATATTTACATTTCCGTATGGCTACATGTACACAAGTTTATGTGTACACATTCCCTTTAGTGCTACCTTTCACCAACAAGTAAATTCAATTTTCAATATTTATAATAAAGGAATAATGCTTTCACAAACATTAATCATTACTAACATGAAAAAACTGTCTATAAAAATGTTTTAATTATTCTATCGACTTATTTACTTTGTAATTATATTTTTAATCTTGGTAACAATTTCTTCTATTGTTAAAGTACACTGATAGAAAAAAATACTTTTTTTTTCTAAAGCAAATCGATAAATAACTGGAGAGTCTGTCGATGGATAAGATGCCACACCTAAGAAAACGGTGTTAGATAGTACATCTATGAGGGAATACAGACTTATTGCATTTTCTAAAGATTGAGTTATCTATCACTAGTTTACTTTAATTACTAAAATCATAGAAAAATATTTTTCAACTTGGAAATAAATTTTTTTCTTATTTAATTTTCAACATTTAACTCAATTAGTAATGGGAATATCAAATTTACTTCTATCCTTCTTATCAGAAAATAGAGATTAGCCATAATGTAAATCTCCTGCTTTCAATTGCAAACCTGGTAGTGATTGTGTTGATAAAAAAAGATATATTAACAGATACGAAATTTGAAGTAGTAATAATGTAATATCGATCGTTATTCAAGTAAATTTTATATTTTACTTGTTGTAATTTGAATTTCTGTAGTGTGAACTGGAGATTATCCTCAATCTTGATACAAATTCCGGAATACGGATAATAAGATGATAATAAAAAAAAATAAAGACTAGAAGGAGTAGGAGTTGAAGTAGAGAATAAAATAATTTTTTTCCGTCTGAGCAAGTCCTAAGCGGCTTCGGCTCCCCTTCATTGTCATCCCTCCATTGGTTACCCCTCGCTTTCCCAACGCAGAGCTTATATGTACGTACACATAGCTCTCACGATCTTTGGAGAATCGAGAAGGGTAAAAATATAAGATGAGAAGGATGAGAATCACTAGTGGCGCGACGAACGGACAAAATCGAAATCAGAGCTTGCGCCGGAACGCTTTATCTCCAGTAGTGGCCCGGTCGCTGTCACGGGCGTAGCTGGATGCTGGATCATTCGCCAGGGTGGCTGCCACCTCGTTGCTCGAACGTAACTCGCAACAACGAACGCGGCCGAGGAGGATTTCGCGGCGGGTTGGACCTAGAAGTAGAAGTAGGTGTAGGTGTAGGTGGAAACTAAAGAAAATAACGGGATTCAGGAAGACAGATAGCATCTGCTAGTGAGAGAGCTGGAGAAAAACCGCAGTGAGAATCGTAGAGGCCGCAGTCGTTGTTGCTGTTTAATGTATACATATGTACGACAACGTGAATGTAAAGAAAAGAGTCATATAAAATAAATGGGTGTACTGTGATTATGATGGTTTTGTGTTTATGGTGAAGTTCCAAGTGATGTTAGAGATGCATTCGTGCCAGGAAAGTCATCATTTAATACTTCAAGTAAGTAGTATTTCATCTTTTTTGAAAATAACATCCAACGTGTGATGAGAAGTATAAAGACGCCGGCTGTGCGCGTGGCTAAAGCTTGTACCCACCTGCTCGTTGGCAAGCTTGCAAAAGTCGTGATTTTTTGGATAATTTTAGAGAGTAACATCGATGACTAATTTGGAGATAATATTAGGTGATGTATAGCAGTGTATTATTTTGATGTAGAGCAAGGTAGAATATTGAAGGAGATTATATTAAAGCTAATTAGACGGTAAGACAAATGATGCAAGAGAATATTAGGTAGCAATATTGAAATCTAATTGACTACATTAAGCATCACCAAAGGGTTTTGGGAGACAGGCGTTAGAGTATTCTGGGGAATTTATAGCTGGGTGAAACTAATATTTACCCAGGAGAATAGAAGAAAAAAAAGGAAAATGGGATCGAGGCTTCCTTGTGGTAAAGAAAAAGATAATTTTCTCCAAAACCGTGAGCCATTAAATTTTTAAAAGGATCATGATATTTAGAGGGTTGAATTTGTGTTGTATTTTTTTTATCTTTTGAGATATTAGGGGATGATAAATAAATGATCGTTATTAGAATATTATTCCGAGGGAAAATATAAGCTGGGGGAAGATTTACATTAGCTCCGTTATTGATATGAAAGCAAAAGGAGGAGTTTCGTGAGTTCTTGAGCCGACGTGAAAAGTAACAAACGGACGTGCCCTCGGTGCAATTTAATTGAGGAAAGTGGTAGATGTGATAGAGTATAGGCAGATGGCGTTTGCGGAGCTGAGAGAAAGTAGACTAGAGGTAAAGAGAGATGAAAATCTCTTGATGATGAATCCACGTGCTTCCGTTGAGTATATAATAATTTTTTCTATCTTACAACTTTGAGAAGTTCTAGCACAAATGTACATTAGTGTTGACTTCTTAGGAGAAATCAAAAATATTGTTCCGGGTGGATGAAATAAAATTTGTTGAAATAAATCATTGCTATAAAGAGCTTCATAAAGAACGTGAAATAGTTAAATCCTACAGCTTTCATTTGATCCCTAAGGATTTTTCGTTTTTTCATTGATAGTTGCTAGCTTCCTATCAATATGATTTTTTTTAACCAACAAATTTCACGTTGATAAAAAATAAAAAAGCTCACGTAGAGGTAGATATGCGATGAGGACAGCATTTTGTTGGCTGGTCTTCTCGTTTAGCTCTCGCCAGTGACACAACAGGAGTTGAGCGTCATTCGACGTCCAGTGATATACACACAACACGGCTGGTTGCGTGAAAATGCCGTTCGCTGAAGCACTCAGCGTATCCGTGGGAAATTGCCATGGAATTGCTTGATAGGTTAATATGAGCATTTGTTTAACAGACACTGGGAGAATTTTACTGTACTGACTGCAATGGCAAAAAAAAGACAGAGTCATTCTGTTGGAATTATACTGCTGGATATTTTTATCCACATAACTTTATGCTGTTTGTAATTGTGTTTGTCATGATCTTCATTCGAATTTTTGCCTCAGTTTTTTTCCAATTGTAGCACTAGTATGTATACTTTACATTCTGAAGTGTAATTTACCGGACAGTTTAAAATGAATGAATGAAAAAAAAAGTATCAACTCTTTTCAAAAGTCTGAAGAGTAATACAACATAAATATCAAAATTGGCATCTTCATCCAACAACGTAAAACGGAATTTTAGACCAAACATAAGTCAGTGAGGTAAATAAGAAGAAGAATAAGTTGCCAAATATTTATATTTCGGACACTGAAAAGAATCAATGTAGATTCTAGTCGAATTCACATGGAATCGTTCGCTGGAACGAGCAAACAAGACAAATGATGGTAAAAAAAGAAAGAGAAAAAAAAACTTAACGGGAAATGTACAAATCCACTTCTCTGAATCTTTAAAACGAGTTTTTTTGTATTATGACTTAGGTCATCCTTTCAGTGCTTACCATTTAAATCCAAAGCTCAAAGCAATTGTCACGTTTTAGTGCTTTTTTACTTCGCACTTTAGTCCAAGTGTTATTAACTGTATCTAAATACGTACAATGGCTGTTTATTCTCGAGAATTTAAATACTCACGTTGAAGATACATTTACCTTGGGGATGTTTCAACCATCTGACCACAGTCTGACTTATTTTTCGTGAGATAGCATTAATCGTAATGAAACTAGGTCGTATTCAAGCTTCCATCACTCAATCTGTTAGATCTTCCTTTCAGTTTTTTTTTCTGTTGAATCTCTCTTTTTTACAATAATTTATCTTTCAATGGCTTTCCAGGTGAATCCATCAGCCAAGCTGAAAAAGAGATTGGTAATTAATGGTATTATTTCATTAGGAATGTTAGATAAGTAGAAATAAGCAACGTACAGTCAGACACATAATGAAAATGCTATTTAAAGTTCCTTTTTGTACTTAAACTTGTTCTTTGATAGTTTAGTGTAATTGTTCAGGTCTTGTCCTGATCGAAAATTCTCTGCTAATGGATAAGAATCAACTCTTTTGGAAGTGAATGCCCGATAAAATGAATTTGGTGTAACTGCGGCAAGATTGGGATGGTTAAAGAGGAGCAAAACAAAAACGGTCAGGGTAAACGGTTAAAGTTTACATTAGATAATGAAACTCCGCTTTTCTGGTTAATCTTTTCGGTCTCGGTCGAGGACACACGGGTACATTGAACATTTGATGAAGGGGTAATGCCAGTTTATGTAAGCACTTAAGGGGGCTCATTTTGCATATTTGCTGCAATATCATCTGCAGATGTATCAGCAGAATCGCGAATAAATTCTTTATTTCAGATATATTCGCAACACAACGTGAGTGTTGGAACGTGAATGTACTATTGAGAGTCGAGTGAGGAATAAAAAAAAATCGAGTAAACATCCACGTTCACCAGAAGACGGATATTTTCTTGTTGAGGGTTATCGAGATCAATCGAGCATGATACCGATAGAAAGAATTTTTCTTGATTGGTCCTTGTCAAAAATCGTTATCAGTAAGCGATATATGAGGATTATATATTGCATGATTTGTCGATCGAGAGTCTAGACTGATGTCTAGAGTGACGTGTAAGAGCATTTCGAGTTCATCAGAAAGATCTTGGAGCTTTTGAGAATATAAAAAAGTCTGTAAGAGAATCAGTCTGTATTTTAGCTTTATCTATTTGCCTATATCTCTGCCCTGCCTTTTCTTTCTATCTTTATACAAGCATTCTTTTCTATCACAATCGCAAACCAATACCACCAGGTTAGTGTAGAGTTGTCGACGTGCTTGCAATTTTGATTCGGTATATAAACTAGGGACTTTGTGAATTGGTAAACTCTCCAGTCTAGTTTCTCCAGAAATTGTAAAAAAAGAAAAAGTCAAAGACGAGCTAAGAATAAATTTGCAAGTGTGACATTTCAAAAATTCATGAGTAAATTAATGTATTTTTTGTGCTTCTAAAATTTTTTTTCACCAATTTTTATTTTACTTTCATTGTACTAACGACGAGCGAATAAATCTTTAGATTACTTAGTACGCAATCTCAGGAAAATTAATGTTTTTTTGGCAACACCACTTCGTTGTACATAGCTCCAAAGAAATATATTTCTTGCATATAGTTTGCGCCACTTAAAATCGTAATTAATTTTTAAGTATTCGTTTTTCCTTATTTTCACGAATTTTTTATTGAATAAAAATTTTATTTCAGTCGTGTCTGATATATATTTATGTAAAAAAAAAAGAAAAGAAAACGAAATAATCTGAATTGATGTATATCTGACAACATAAGGATTGGTTCTGTCTTTGAATGACAAGGAAAATGATAAAAGGAAAGAGAGGAAATTGAAGAACGATTTCTTTAATCAAAATGTTTGAAAATAAATGTAATGGGAAATTTAATAAGAATGAAATTTCGATAATTGAGTAAGCATTTTTCATTTGACATGCTACCGAAAATTTATACCAGTTGTTGAGCTTGTTCTAGAGAGTTGAATATGCTTCACTGGCACGCTCTGATCAATGAAGAGACAATATTGAGTCTATAAATAGATACAGAACTTGATGACAATAGACTCTACTTATACGTATATGAATCGCTATTCTAAACTAATATCCGATCTCTAATGTTAATACCAATGACTGTATTGATCATATTAACTGAGAAAATACAACTACTCTTCTGAAAACACGAGTCTTGTCAAGTGTCGATTTAGTTATTTTTCATCTAAAAATGCTATTTTTATTCAAAATGAAATGGAATTAATCAAAATTTGAAAAATAAAACGTGGTAATTAAGGTAAATATCCCAATTAACGACGGAGTGAAGATCAACTGCACTACTTGACTTGATTAAATTGGAAAAATAATTATTACAATCATTCATCGATGTGCTTTCATGCTTTACTACATTGGTTGGATAAATATTTTTCACGAGGGAAATTAATTATTATAGAGTAATTGCTAAAAGTTACATGTATATGTCATTTATGAGGTTTCATATTAATTATTAATCACTGATAAAGATATCGGCAGTATTTTTTATTTTCATTTTTAATTAATTTTTATGAGAAAACTGGGACAATACGACCTCTTAGGAGCTTTAATTAATTTTTAAACCGATCAATTAAGATAATTAGGAATAATTTAAAATATGAATGAAAAAAAAACGAAATGATATCATTTATTTATTATTTGTTTTGTGTTTGTAAGATTAAATAAAATCCCTGTTTCATAATTTATCTGGGTAATCTTAGAGATAAACAATCTAATAAATAAATCATCAGTGGTATAAAAAAATTTCGCAAGTTTTTAGGGAGAAGGGGAGATTATTTAACCCCGGAGGTCATTTTTCCCTTATAACGTAGTTTGGTAACTTTGTTTATTTATAAAATATTTAATATTTGACATTAATTTATTCTTCACATCAATAAAAACGCCTTGAATATAAAATTAGAGTTAAAATTATTTATTTATGGATGTTTTACAATTTAAAAATATTTATGATGAGCTTAGCATTGAAAA